TGTCACTCCAAAAGGCATAACCAAATACTCGTAGTGTCCGTAGCGTGTTCTAAAAGCAGTCTTTGGTATATCCTCAGATCGTACTCTAATCTGATGATACCCTAATCTTAAATCAATCTTTGAAAATATTTTTGCCCTGCGTAGTTGATCCATTAAATCATCTATTCTTGGTAATGGGTATTTATTCTTTATCGTCACCTTATTTAGTTGTCTGTAGTCAACACATAGCCGCATACTCCCATCCTTCTTCTTCACCAAAAGTACTGGTGCTCCCCACGGTGACACACTCGGCCTAACAAATTGTTTCTCCAAGAGTTCTTCTAATTGCTTTTTAAGTTCAGATAGTTCCAATGGAGACATTCTATATGGGGCTATGGAAATAGGTCCTGCTTCTGGTACCAAATCAATACTGAATTCTAATTCTCGTTCTGGGGGTAATCCTGGAATATCATCAGGAAAAACTTTACGATATTCTCTTACTATTGGCACATCAACCAACTTTTCTTTCTTTTCTTCTACCAATAAAGACATTACAAATCCCTGAACTTCCTTCAAGAAAACATCTTCAAAATTGGCACTTTGAATCCTTGACTTCTTAGAATTATTTTGCTCAAAATATCTAAACACAATAATCTTTTTACAACAGTGTATAATGACATGGTTGTCAGATAACCAGTCCAATCCCAAAATAACCTCCAGTCCTTTTAAAGGAAGGCAGAAGAGATTCATTACAAAATTTCTACCATCTATACTAATGGGACACTCCCAACATGCTTTTGCAGTGATAATAGGATCATTACCCGGGGTATGCACCGACAAATCAAATGGCAATGATATAGTAGGAAAATCTAAACGTTCCACACAAATATAAGAAATAAATGAATGTGATGCGCCTGAATCAAACATCACAGATAAAGGAGTATCTCAGATAATACATGTACCTCCAATCATCATGTCAGAGTTAGATACTTTTTATCCGCTCATTGCAAAAACTTTACCATGAGCTTTTGCCCTGCTAGCTACCCCTCCACCAGGATTTCGGTTGTGATAGTTTCCATTGCCTCCATCTCCTTCCTTCTTAATCATTGGACAGTCACGGGACATATGCCCAGGCTTGTTACAACTAAAGCATATTAACGGTTTTACTGGACAATCTTTTCTGTAGTGTTCTCCTCTACAAGCAAAGCATTTTCCTCTTGGTGAGGCTGACATATAGTTTTCACTATTACCACGGTTCTGAGAAAACTCAATTGTGGGCCCCCTTTGACGTTGTTGTCTCTGATAGGGTTGTCCTCTTCCAAATCCTCTCCTTTGATTGCGTTGAGGCCCATAGTTCTTCGTTCCTGAAGACTCATAACGGTGTTCTCGAAACTTAACAATCCTTGCTTTATGATCTTCTTCAAAAATCCTACATCTTTTCACCAATGTAGGAAACTCTTGAATTTCCTGCATTCTTATGGCTTCCTTAATCTCAGGGCGAAGTCCATTGACAAACTTCACACACCTTGACCTCTCGTTGATGGCATTGTGGTAGTGGGGATGATATCGTGAAAGTTCTTCATACTTTGCCGCGTACTCTCCTACATTCATGGATCCTTGTGTCAGTGCCAAGAACTCCATCTCTTTCTTCTCTCGAACATCTTGTGGAAAGTACTTCTCCAAAAATCTAGCTTGAAACAAAGGCCATGTAATCATTATACCTTCCCCCTCCAATCTTTGTCTCACTCCATCCCACCAATATTCAGCATCTTCTATTAATGCATAAGCAGCAAACACCACCTTATCATTCTCTGTGCATCGTAGGGCACGAAAAATCTTCTTCATTTCTCTAAGCCAAACTTGTGCACCTTCAGGATCATATCCCCCCTTGAATCGAGGAGGGTTCCTCTTCTCAAATAAGTCCAATCTCGTCAAAGCATCATCACCTCGAGGAACAAGAACCTATTGCACTCGAGCTTGTCGATCCTGCTCCATTACAACAATTAGTCTCTCCACTGAATCAGCTAATCCAGCATCTCGTCCAACCATTGATTCCTGATAATCGAATCAAATTCAACTAAGTTATTAGGAAATCATCATTGATATTAAATCATGGTAATTTCCTACACATAATTCCCCACAAAGAGTGCACAAAAGCCTAAGTAGACCTTTCCCCAGACCTAAAGGGTCAAACTGCTCTGATACCACTAATTGTAACACCCTACCTTATAAACCCTCAATCAGAAGAATTAATAATTTTTTAGCAGAATTTTTTTTAAAACAAATAATAATCTTTCCCTCGTACATAATATTAATATATAAATTTTCAATAACCCATTCCTGCATTTCATCATTTTAAAAAGTACTAAAAGTAAACATTCATAATTACATATAGATAAAATAGTAGTACAGTCCTTCAAAATATTAAGGGCAACATTGGGGATACTTCCTACAGAGCAGCTAACTACACAAAAGAGTAACTACTACTCACTACCATGTAGGTCTATATACTAGAAAAGGCTGTCTATAAAAGTTTGGATATGTTTATCCCAATACATGTTGCCATCATTGTGGCTCCCAGCTAATGAGTATGAGTGTCATAATCATCGGGTGTGGAATCTGTGTTATCTCCCCTCTCTTCAAACAATGACTGATCAGGTCCAACGAGTACCGCAAGTACAAAGGAAATAAAGAAAACAGAAAGACAAGAGGGTGAGTAACAGTTCATACATAATTTTAAAATCAACATCATAAACATTCACAAGTCAATTAAATTCCAAATGATTGATGTTAATGATGCATGATCCTAATATGTTTTCTAAAATGTTTATGCATGCGGGCCCGAATCATTTCTCAAATCAGTACTGGGGTAGCCAGGAGTTGACACTACTAGGCATGGAAAATCCACCCACGGGATTGTTGAGACCCATGCTCAAATATAAACCCAGTAACTCACTGACCATTGATATACGATAAGAGCACGGTCAGGTATAGTAGAGTTTGTACAGTGGGATCCCCGACAACAGGTAGCGAGCCTGGGCCATTTTGGGCCTCCAACCACTACCGTTCCTATCCTCAAGTCCTCCCTCAGGGCCTCCCTATCGTATTCTCAAAGTCCATAATCTCTGATTCCCCAGATTTCACAAATCACCATTTTCAGATGAGTAATGTATGAGTCCCTAAGTGGTTTTTCTTAGAAAATCACATTTTTCCAAAAATTTTGACAAAGTTTCCCCTGAAATACGGATTTCCCAAAAATTTCCAATCACCTGTTACAAGCAGAAAACTTCCAATACAGTTTAAAAAGGGTTCACAACCCATGATCCAAATTCTTTCAATTTAATTTTCAATGAATTTTCTCATGAAAAACCACCATGCATATAAATGCTCACTCAAAGACCATACATATTATAATAGAGTACCAAACATGTATTTTACACCATCATACACGTAAGCAATTCATGTTCACTTTCACAACCAAGCATATAATGAAATCAAAATTATCAATCATAACAAATTTAGACAAATTCAACAAATAAGGTCAAACAAGTTTATGATGTAATCCTTACTATATAGCCCACCTCTTACCTGATACGTCCACACTTATTCCTTTCAAAGCTTGATGTTGTGTTTCAGCAAAATCTATAAACGTAATAAAATACTAGTTAGAATTTTATATTTTTGTGTTTCTATCTCATGAGAATTTAAATTCACTTTGTGTTGTTAATCCATTTCTAATAATATTTTAAGCTCACATTCAACTTACAATTATCTTAGAAAATTATCCTATTTTGTATACACTTAGAGTAGGAAAAATCCTAATAGCAAACATGGACAAGGTTCAGTGTTTTGGAAATTTCTATAGTTATATAACCTTTTTTGGCATAAGATTTGAGCCAAAATTTCAATAACTTAATTACCTACAATATTTAGGAAGGAAATAAATTCAAATATCCTATAGAATAGATGCAGTTTTCAGTTTTCAGTGGTTGTTTCCAACTAGGCTCAACTACAATAACACTCTGAACATGCCTTGGTAATTGGATTATAAACCATGCTAAACATAAGCTATTAACATGAAACCAATTTTTAAATTTCTGGAATATAATTTACTACAACTTTTATGAAGGAATGAAGTCCTAATTTCACACTTATCAATCCCAGTGATTCAAAAACCGAGGCAGTTGAAACAGGGCAACATCTTAACGTCACAGCTAGAACACTTGACAGTAAAATGGGTATAACTTGAGCTACAAATATCCATTTAATATAAAACCAGATTCTAAATTTCGAAAACTTAAAGAGATACAACTTTTATGAAGATACCAATTCCTAATTCTGTTCAAACAAGTCCCAAAAATTTATTTAATAGTACCTACGAATTAGGGCTCTTAAAGTTTTTAGCTTAACCACTTCTAATCCTCAATTTTAAACATTATTCTAGTATTCTAGGTGTAAAACCTACAATAACACTCTTTCTACTCCCATTCAAGCTCAGTCAAGTGAGGAGAAAAATTGAAAATGCACCGTTTTGAAAAATAAAACGGTAGAAATGTAGAGGAGATTGAGATAAACCAACTTACCTCTTGGAGCTTCTCAAGAAAATCAAGATTTTCCCATTAAAATCAAGCTTAAAGATAAGAAAAGTTTAGAGAGTAAGGAGGAAACTGCGGCTGGAGAGAGAAGGGCACTCCTTTTTAAGAGTCAACTTAGGTGGAATTGCCACAACATGAGCATTCTTCTTAGCAAGAATTATTGCAGTAGGATAATAGCTAGGAGGATTTGAAAATCATTATGGCATTAAGATTTCCAAGCTTTAGTCAAGGCTTAGCTCAAGACCCCACTACTCGTCATATTTGGTTTGGTATTGCTACCGGACATGACTTTGAAAGTCATGATAATATTACTGAGGAACGTCTTTATCAGAATATTTTTGCTTCTCATTTCGGGCAATTAGCAATAATTTTTCTGTGGACTTCCGGGAATCTGTTTCATGTAGCTTGGCAAGGGAATTTTGAGACATGGGTACAAGATCCTTTACATGTAAGACCTATTGCTCATGCAATTTGGGATCCTCATTTGGTCAACCAGCTGTAGAAGCTTTTACCCTAGGAGGTGCTCTAGGCCCTGTTAATATAGCCCATTCTGGTGTTTATCAGTGGTGGTATACAATCAGTTTACGTACTAATGGGGATCTTTATACTGGAGCTATTTTTCTATTGATTCTTTCTACTATATCTTTAATAGCGGGTTGGTTACACCTGCAACCGAAATGGAAACCAAGTGTTTCGTGGTTTAAAAATGTCGAATCCCGCCTCAATCATCATTTGTCAGGATTATTCGGAGTAAGTTCCTTGGCTTGGACAGGGCATTTAGTCCATGTCGCTATTCCGGGGTCCAGGGGGGAATACGTTCGATGGAATAATTTATTAGGTATATTGCCGCACCCAGAAGGATTAGGTCCATCTTTTATAGGTCATTGGAATCTTTATGCTCAAAATCCTGATTCCAATAATCATATCTTTGGTACCCCTCAAGGAGCAGGAACTGATATTCTAACACTTCTCGGGGGATTTCATCCACAAACTCAAAGTTTATGGTTGACTGATATTGCACAACATCATTTGGCTATTGCATTTCTTTTTCTAATTAGTAGCCATATGCATAGAACTAACTTCAGGATTGGTCACAGTATAAAAGATCTTTTAGAAGCACATACTCCTGACTTCTGAATTCATTTTCTTTTTTGAATAATTTAAGAAAAAGATTAAAGAACCATAGCATTTCGCGCTTCATTGGTAATCCACTTAGATTCTCTATTAACCAATCATTTTGGGCTATTACCATGGTTAAAAATAGTTTGAAGTCTAGACGCAGTGTAGTACTCTTTCTACCATTATGTTAATACAGAAAGGAAACAGTTTCAATAAAATTATTCTATTTTTTTTTTTTCGATATAGAACACTCATGTCGATAAAATGGCTTGAATCCTATTTACGGCGAGAAATGAAAAACGGGTTGTTAATTTAAACCCCCCTTTGCTTTGTACAATGTGTAATCGATGGATGACCTATGTATAAAAAAAAAAGAAAAAGTCTTTGGATTTGAATAAAAAAACAACTTTATTGACATATATTTGTTTGGTCAAAAGAGTCCTTCGAATATTCTAGTCTTATATTGGTAATTGTTTTCACTTTTAATAGAGAAGAGAGGATAGGCTCATTACAAAAAAAACTGGGAAATTTCCCATAAGTAATTGAGTGTGAGAGCCAAATGAATCGAAAGATTCATGTTTGGTTCGGGAAGAGATCATAGACATTTTGAAATGAATGGAAAGAGAGTCTACTTTCATTAAGTGATTTATTAGATAATCGAAAACATAAAATCTGGAGAACTGTTTGAAACTCAGAAGAATTATGGGAAGGGGCCATTGAACAGCTCGAAAAAGCCCAGGCCAATTCACCTAAATTTCCGCTCAACGCATTTCTGATGCGCCCAGCGGATTACAGGCCGCATGTAATAGAGATTTCAAACATAATCCGCTCAGGGTATTTCTGATGCGCCCAGCGGATTAGATTACGAAAAATTTATCCATTATTTTCTTCTTTTTACTCTAGTTAGGATTTGAACCCACAACCCTTAAGATTCAAGTATTACTCCAAACAATATCAACCATCATATGTTTCTTGTTAACTTATACACATAATAAACTTTTAATGTACTCATACTCTCTACAATATTATTAAATTCTTAGTTTAATTACTTCTCTTACTTTCAATTTCTACCTTAAATCATATAATTACTATCTGGCACCTAGCTGCCCATAAAACGGGTAACTTTTAAGTTTTTTCTAAAAATTGCAGAAAAATTCTAGAAAATCACAAATAATCTAACAAACATAAAACTCTACAGTTACTTTATCCAATTCCTAATAATTTAATTATTAAAATTTTGACAAATATTTTGTCAAAATTTAACAAACTAGGGGTATTGAGAATTAGGATGTTACAATGTGGAAATAGCAGCTGACATGGTAGTGACGTGGCAGCAACATGGCAGGTGATCTGGCAACACCTTTTCAAGTCCAAAAATTACGTTCTAAACCCAATGAAGACTAATAATTGAAAATTCACTAATAATAGACAATTAAGCACAATGCAACAATTAAGATCGGTATAGAAAGATAAGAAAATGTGGGAAAATAATGGCTCATCACCTCTCTTTCTTAGTGTTTGGAGATTTGAATTATCAGGGGTCAGATCTGAAAGTGATGAAGATCTTATTGAAATACTGTGGCAAAGATCTTATTGATTTGATGAAGTCAAAGATAAAGTCAAAGTCAACTTTGTAGCGGTCAACAGTCACTTAGATAAAAGAATAGAGGGATTAGTGTGTCCGCAGCTATGCTTAGGTATAATCATTTTTATCTTTTCTGCTACATGAGGTTTCTTCACTTAAAAGATTTTGCAAAATGCCTCTAAAAACGTTTAAGCAGTTAAAAACAAAGTATTTTAACAAAAGCTTTCTTAAACAAGTTTTTAACTGATATAATTTCGAAATAACCGGTTGTTTTCATTAAAGAAAGTTTTGAAAACTTTCTGTCAGTGTTTTAACTGATAAAGCTTCGAAATAACCGATTAAAATCACTTAAAATGTTAAGAGAAGTGTTTTTGCAGTATTTTAATCGATACAACTTGGTTTTAATCGATTAAATCCACTTAGTGTTCAGGATTATCGATCAGAATGCAATTATGACCGATAAGAATCAGATATGATCGATCAGAATTGAGTTATGACCGATCAGAGCTTTTTCAATCGATTAAAACACGTTTCAATCGATTAAAACAACTTAGAAAATTTCTACACAGCGTTTTAATCGATTAAAACTTATTTTTATCAGTTAAAATCACTTGAATCACGAAACAATCGATTAAAACAAATTAGAAGATTTTTTGTAAAGAGTTTTAATTGATATAAACGTTGTCGTATCAGTTAAAACAAATCTGTTAAAGAATCAAGAACGTTTTAATGGATTAAAAGAAGTTTTAACAGATTAAAACTACACTTTTAACACATTAAAAGATTATTTTAATAGATTGATTAAACCAACAGTTTAATCAATCGTCTCGGCTCTTTGGTGAGGAATCTCTTATTTTTGTGTATAGGAGGCCCTCCTATTCTACTATGGGGTCTAGTACATATGCCTAGAGACCTAAAGAGGTCTTGTTCATCCTCAAATGGAGGTCTTCTAGCTTTATTTGTGGAGCCGGACAAGATTTGGGGTCTACCATGATAGGCCAAAGTTTTTATTTTAGTAAACACATGATCCATTATGTTATCACAGTTACCAAGATCAAAGATGATTGGTAAAGATCTGAAGATGTTGGAGATAGCGGATAAGTTACCATGAAGGTTCCCCACTTGTAAACTTCTTGAGATTGTCTTTGTAACTTCATTCTAACATTGACAATACATTTTGCTTCATATTGTGCTACTTTAGTGTTGTCAGCTTTAACATTATCTTTTTTGTTTCTTTAGACATTATGGCAACTGAAATGTCAAGAAACAAGATATTTTTTAAGTATTTTCATCAAAAGTGTACGACCATGGCTCAAAACAAAAAGCAAGAAGAGGCTGACAAAGAGGTTGACCAACATTGTTAGATTTGTTACCTCCTCGACTTAAAGCCAAGAGAGAAAAGAAAATAAAGGATAAAGATGTTGAGAAGCATCACAACTCTTCCACCCATCAGTCACTAAAAGAAGGAAAACATAAGCTTTTAGTCTCGAATCAAGTTCTTACGCATGTAATATATATTCTTGATACATGAGCTACAATTTGGGTCAAAGGTGATCATGGAGATATTGTGAACTAAAAATGATATGTATACTTCGACTAAATTGGACAAGCTATGATATGTGCTTGTTCTGGATAAGTGTATGAACTCAAATTTGTTAAGGGCGAGAATCGTAGTTGAATTGTGTAAAAGACGATTTAGCCTTCTAATTCAATGAAGTAGGTTTGGAGACCAATTTGGTGTTAAATACTAGGATAATTGAGTTGGAAGGGTGATGCTTAAGATTGAAGGTTGATGACACAATGTGGAGACAAAAGTGCTAAAAGGTTGAGACTACGCAGGAAAAACTTAAAGTTAATATTGTTAATAAGGTTTATTAACAACGTCTTCCATGGTCCAAAGGGATCCTTTGATGAATTTTTTTATATTTACTCTTGTCTATTTTTAGATATCTGCATCTTTTAATGAGTTCACAATGGGTATTCTAAGAGTATTAAATGTTCCACCTACCCATCTATATCGGAACAGGTAGGCGATTTTTCTTGATTTGCATATTCTCAACGAGGCTATTCACATAAAGTCTACACCTCAAGTCTTCTTACATCATTTTAGTACTAGCTCGGAAGACTCAATGAGTTGGTTATCATTAATTAGGCATTTGACTTCACCGTTGTTTGCCCCATGTACATCTTTTTATAAGAAATTTAATAATGTGATAAAGGTCAAAGGTAGGACATTTATTTTGAAGTTGATAGGCCAAAGTTTTTATTTTAGTAAACACATGATCCATTATGTTATCACAGTTACCAAGATCGGAGATGATTGGTAAAGATGTGAAGATGTTGGAGATAGCAGATAAGTAACCATGAAGGTTCCCCACTTGTAAACTTCTTGAGTTTATTTGTCTTTGTAACTTCATTCTAACATTGACAATACATTTTGCTACATTTTGCTTCGTATTGTGCTACTTTAGTGTTGTGGGCTTTAACATTGATGATCTTTTTTGTTTCTTTAGACATTATGACAACTGAAATGTCAAGAAACAAGATATTTTATAAGTATTTTCATCAAAAGTGTGCGACGAGGGCTCAAAAGAAAAAGCAAGAAGAGGCTGACAAAGAGGTTGACCAACATTGTTAGATTTGTTACCTCCTCGACTTAAAGCCAAGAGACAAAAGAAAAGAAAGGATAAAGATGTTCAGAAGCATCACAACTCTTCCACCCATCAGTCACTAAAAGAAGGAAAACATAAATTTTTAGTCTCGAATCAAGCTCTTACGCATGTAATATATATTCTTGATACATGAGCTACAATTTGGGTCAAAAGTGATCATGGAGGTATTGTCAACTAAAAATGATATGTATACTTCAACTAAATTGGACAAGCTATGATGTGTGCCCTTGTTCTGGATAAGTGTATGAACTCAATAATTTGTTAGGGGCGAGAATCGTAGTTGAATTGTGTAAAAGATGATTTAGCCTTCCAATTCAATGAAGTAGGTTTGGAGACTAGTTTGGTGTTAAATACTAGGGTAATTGAGTTGGAAGGGTGATGCTTAATTGAAGGTTGATGACACAATGTGGAGACAAAAGTGCTAAAAGGTTGAGACTACCCAGGAAAAACTTAAAGTTAATATTGTTGAGCTAGAGAAAAATTTGACTAAAATATCTTTGGCTATGGAGGTGAAGGTTAGTGTGAAGGAACAACCAAGAAGAAAATGTGAAACCTAGTGATATGTTCTTCAAGAGCATACAAAAGGTTTTAATAAGGTTCTTTGTCAAACATATTTCTTTATCTAGTAAGGGATTTTGTTGAGTGAAGCTAAATTTGTAAAATAACATATATATGAGATCTCAGTGTGTCATGTTAGTTGTTAGATATTGTTTAGATATTATTTGATATTGTTAAGATATTGTTAACCACAATATCAAACA